GAGGGTGCTGAGGCGCTGGCACAGGGTGCCCAGAGAAGCTGTGGCTGCCCCATCCCTGGCAGTGTTCAAGGCCAGGTTGGACACAGGGGCTTGGAGCAACCTGCTCTAGTGGAAGGTGTCCCTGGCCGGGGCAGGGGGTTGGAGCTGGATGATTTAAGGTCCCTTCCAAGCCAAACCAGGCTGGGATTCTACAAACTGATTACAGGAAACTGAACAGAAGTACTCTACCACTGACAACTGCCATCCGGAGCACAACCTCCATCGTGACAGCAATACAGGCTGCCACCCACCCTTGCATGGCCACACTAGATGCTAAGGCTATGGTTTTTTTACCCTTCTGCTAAGAGAAGAAGGCAAACCCGAGATGTCTGAGTGGAGTCACACATGAGGAGATGCTGAGCGCAAGGACGGCCATCCTCTTAACCCATGATTTCCTTCCAGTTTCAACACCCGTATCTGCACAAGGGCATTTAGAACTCATGAAGCAGCATCAGCAGGATGCCCGAAGCCCCCGGGGTGCTGCTCTGCTGGCCTGGTACCCACAGCAGGGCTGAGCACTGGAACGATGCGGGCTGTGACATCACTTGGCTGTTCTCAGCAGCAGGCTCTGACTTCACGGCAACAAGTGCCACTATTCCACAGCTCCCAATGTGGTCGTCATGGTCCCTGCACATGAGCAGCAACGGCTTTCTTCTGGACCTCAGCATCCTAATCCCGGCTGCTGGGGCCATCCTGCTCGCCATCAGCCATCGGCTATGGGGTCGCTTGTGGCCATGGGGCTCACTTGATTCCAGCGCTGGTGGTGGCTGGCCCCAGGAGGGTGACTGTGCCACGCTGCTGTGCCCACAGGGTGGTGGCCGGGGCCAGCACCAGTGGAGATGGAGGTGGCGATATGGAACAGCAGAGCCATGTAAGTCCCCCTAAGAGGAGCCCAGCCCCATGTGAAGCAGGCTGGGTGTATGGTCCAAGTGTGATTCCATCCCCCCCCCCACTCAGGAACCCCTCCCTGGCTTGCAGGTAATGCTGCATCCCCGCTGTGCGGGCCCTGGCGCTGCAGTCCCGGCTGCGCTGACTGCATCAGGGCTGCCCAGGAGCTGCAGGAGCTGGT